ATTTTGAAAAACAGTGCTGAGATGGTCGGGATTTTTGAAGAAAAAGATATTTTAGATTTTTAGAGTTAAAAGAGATTTATAGACATTTTTTTGAAGAATTTCTTGATAGATTTTGGGAATTATGTATCTTGGCCTATTTTGAGATATTAATAAAGTTGTGTTCAATATATGACATGATTTCAATTTGAGAGTTCTCTTACTTAATCTTGTGCACCGTGACTTATAGATGAGAACTAGATCCTTGTAACAAGGATTCCCATCCTTCCCATCCTTCACATCCTTTCCTTCCTCCCCGCGAGCCAGTATTGATAAACATTTTTTTTCGAGCTTTCTCTAACTAATTATTTAGCGGTCCTAGATTTTATTTGAATGTAAGAGTTCTTGCTGTTAGGTATCTAAGTGAATATTCTGTGAGGTTTATTGAAAGCAATACTGAGAACTCCTGGAAAGGGTATTTTATCTAACAGGTATGTCACAGCAAGGTGCATGGCGTGATAATCTCACCAATCAAGCAATTGCAGACAGACGAATGATAGAACCAATATGACAGAATCCAATCACTGAACTACTGCATGATGCCACAGATGTTGGAATTTTTCAGTTCGCTCAAATAGATGAAACATAGCATTAATTTGCACTTAGCTCGATCATTAACCATTTACACCCTTAGGTTGGTACTCATATTCTCCACACCGATCTCTCTACATTTCCTGTGGTAAGGACAAGGAGAATTTGTTTAACAATGATGAGCTTTTCAAATTGGTTATTATTTTCATTTTTCTCATTACCTATACATTCAATTCAAGGTTGATACTGAAATGAGAAATTAGAAGCCAGTCACCCTTTAGAGTTAATGGGTTAATAACTCAGAATTGGACGTGAATGAAATCGCTCTTTTAAAAGAGAAAGAAGGGAAAAGAAAGCGTTTTTTATGACGGAATACAGGAAAAAAGAAAACTGCTGCAAACAAATGGAGATTTAATCATTATGATTACCCCTAGCTTAGTGCATGGTGAGCCAACATGGATATTCAATTTGTCCTTGATGTTTAAGCTAGCCTTGTGTTATGTATATTTGCTCTTGCACCTCAAAGGCACAAAAAAGCATCGATGAGATTTAGCGAGCTGCTTGTGATGAAGCCACAAAATAAAATGATAGTTTTAAGCAATTATTCGGACGTATAGGTAATAAATTGCTAAACAATGTTGAGATAAGCGCATACTCCATTGACTCTGCATGCACACTTTTACTACCCATACCAGGTCTACATGTTGAGGTCCTTACGATTCAGAGCCCACGTATGCGTCCTAGAGTTTCAAAAAGTCTGAATACAGATTACTTGAGACTCGGAGGGTAACGGAAAGGCTCTGGATGTGCTATAAGAGCCCTGACCCTGCCATCGCTGAGCATTTTAAGGTCGATTATTGTCGAACGCGGATGAAATTTTTGGGGTATATTTTTTGTGTTTAACAATTGGTGCCGCTTTACTAATAGCCTTTTGTAACAGGGACGTTAAAGAGCCCTGTGACCTGCATCAGTTCTCTTTTTTTTCTTTTTTTCTTTTTTTCTTCCTTTTTTCTCAAACACTTTTTTGGAGCAAAACGGACATATCGTTAAAGATTCCAAACATGATAGGAAAATTAAAGAGAAAATGTTCCCAATAAGGCAAGTGCGAACGGTACCCTAAAACAAAGCACCACCCTAATGGTTACCTCGGCTGAAAACAGCCTACCATTCTCAAATAATGTTGCGCGCGTTGATTCTGTTATTTTTTAACATAGAGAGCAAATTACTTAAGGTTGATTGGTTCAGATAGAGGGAATTTTCCCTTTATTTTGGTAATTGCCCTAGGGAAAATAACCCAAATTTGAAATATCTTCTGTTTTGATTGGCACCTGAGCAGGCAAGATGGGCTCGGGACTGCCCGCTGTGATTCCGCGCAAAAACAGTTGGCCTCCTTTCCCGTCTCTCGAAATAAACAAGTCTTGATTCGTAATAAAGCGGCGATGTTTTTGCTCTATAATAAATCCGATATTGACCAAGCTTTTTCGGTCGAGGTGGCTGGATATTAGTGTCGTTCTCTTTTTTCCGTTTTTATGGAAATAAAACACAAAAAAGAACTGACCCAATATCTAGCCATCTTGACCTCACGCTTGGTCAATGACGCTTATGAAAAATTGCGTTACTTCCGATTCTTTCCAAATTTGGAGTATAAGATGTTGAAAATTAAAGCCAATTTGGTAGTTAATTATGCACTACACAACTAATATTTCAAGTTCAATCGGCGTCGATGTGAGTCGATCTTATTTTATCCCCGTTGATGATGATTTAGAGGTTAAATTTATCATCGGAAACTCCGTAGATGGAATAGACAGTGGTGAAGGACGCAGAATAGATCGGGGGCTAGAAATCGAGATCGAGAAATCGAGAGCCATCGAACATATAGTTTTGAAAAGCATAGTCGTTCACCTCCAGTAGCCTATTCCGCATTCGCGTGCAGTTCGAGTTTTGATCAAAAATTTGTAACAAGTATACGTGCATCAAGAGTTCCGGAAGGTAATTCGCGCGCAATGCATTCTGGGATAGTCTCACAAAAAAAGTGGGCACCAAGCGTGACAATATGGCGTGTGTCTCTGTATTCAATGCGTTCTTTGAAGCGTGTCTTTATCTATAATACAGTCTTTTTGTTCTTGTAAGTGATATCAACTGGAAAATAATCTTCGTGGGTATTATATTCAAAAGGTAAGTTACAAATTTTAACTTTGTTTTAGCTGTTTTTAAGCTTTTAATGGTAGTAGATTCAATCCTGCGCGCGAGTGACATTCGCGAATACAAGAACTGTCAAAAGTCAAAGATTCTCATCGTATTTTTATTACTTTGCAGCCGTTTAATGACATGGTCTTTGGGCACAGAAATTGTGCAGTATTTGGGTGCCATAACAGTGGGAAAAAGCTTGAGAAATGGGCTTCACAGCAATGCGAAGTTCACGATTGTTTACACGGCACTCCGCCATGTGACTGTCCGCTGCCGTTCAAGCTATTTCCGTTCCCTACTGAACGCAAAAACAATGAGGGTAGAAAGCGCTGGATCCATCTTCTAAAGAGAAAAGGCCCGAAAGGAGAAGTCTGGCAACCTAATAATTCGTCGAGAGTCTGCAATGAGCACTTTGTTGATGGGAAACCCACGAAAGAGAAACCCTGATCCTGTACTCAAAATGGGCTACGAGACAAAGTCTACTCGTAACCGTAAACCGCCTACTGATAGATCATCATTACTAGAAGAAATGAAACGTTTAAGAACTCAAGATAATACTCAAGATAACACACAAGATAATATTCAAGATGATACTCAAGATAATGCACATGATAGTCAAGATGCTCCTGTGATTCAAGAACCAAGTAGTTCCTCGTTTATAACAGAAGAAGAACATTGTACTACTGCCGGTCGACCCGACCATATCACTCACGATCATGCATATTCGTTTGGCTGGTACAACCTAGAAGATCCTGACTTCTGTATGAAAGAAAAATGCTTGCAGGAAAGACTCAAGCAGTTCAATGAGATCAAAGATCTCAAAGAAAAACTCCAAGAACTTGAAAGTGAACTCAAAGCATGTAAGATAAAACTCAAGGCCAGACAGCGTAAGGGACTAGAACATTCTGATTTGAAAACAAATTCATCTGTTCGTCTACTAACCGGCCTACCATCAAAACGAGTATTCAATAAGTTGTTTGAAGTAGTGAAGGGAAACATCAAAAAAGTAAACTACTGGAGTGGCCCAAAAAAATCTACTAAAAAAGGAAGAAACTTCAAAAAAACACCAAATAAGTTTGGCCCTAAAAGAGCTTTGTCAGAAAAAGATGAGTTTCTTTTGACCTTAATGAAACTTCGACTTGGATCAACAAATGCTGACTTAGCACAGAGGTTTGGAATTTCAACTACAAATGTAACAAATGTTGTTACTACCTGGGTGAAAATCCTAGCAAGTGAACTTAAATGTTTGGTTTACAATCCCTCCATCGATGTTGTGAAAGCAACTTTGCCCGCAAAGTTTAAAAAGCCAGGCTACTCTAATGTACGCCACATCATTGATTGCACAGAAATATTTATTGAAACCCCAAGCGACCCAAACCTTAGAGCAGCTACGTGGTCAGACTACAAGCATCACAACACTGCTAAGCTGTTGGTATCAATACACCACATGGTTTTTTCAATTTCTTATCCAAAGCATGGGGAGGGAGAACTTCAGATGTGCATCTGACAAGAGAATCATCATTTTATGATATCATTGAACCTGGCGATGAAGTGATGGCAGACCGTGGATTCACAATTGCTGAAGACCTCTTAATCAGAAGCTCAAGACTACACATCCCCCCTGGTAAACGTGGACAAGAGCAGTTCACTAAAGCTGAAGTTGCTAAAACAAAAGAAATTGCAAATCTTAGAATCTTTGTTGAGCAAGCAATAAGACGGTTGAAGACGTTTAGACTGATAAAGCATGAACTACCAATATCACTGCTTGGCAGTATAGACAACATTGTACTTATTTGTGCATAACTTGTATAGACCCTTGGGTAAAAAATGATTAACAAGAAATGTACAAATAGCTAAAAAGATTGACAGCATTTAACCCATGAAAGAATATAAACTTCATAAATTTAGAGGATACCAATATGTATTAGTCTAAGTTCTTTCTTAGGTTAAAGTTATTCAAAATCTCTGCTCTACTTTACTAGCAACTAGTATAGAGTGCAATCACTTAATCTTTCATACAAATGGTACCAAATAATACTAAATAGTGTTGATAATGGTACATAACAAGAAAATTAAGTAATAGTATGATTTAGTACCATTTAATGCTTCAGCTATTAAGTATGTGCACTCTGAATAAGAACTGTTATATTATTTGCACCACAAGGACCTCACAAGAGAAAAATTATTCTGGTAGAGTGATTACAATCATTAGATATTTTGTAAATATTTTTCTTCATTTCACAGCTCATGTGTCGCTGAACACAAATAAATAATATATTATTTATTATTACTATATATATAACTGCAAACAATATCAAACTGTAACATTTTCAATCATACTGAAGTGTGGTCAATGCATTACTTGTATAAAATTTCATGATTTGATTCATCCATTCCAGTTTCCACAACAGACAATTTTACTGTTCTATTCAGAGACTATTTGAGTTCAATTTAGAACTGTCAGACCAGTTTTTCCAGATATGAAATTGTAAAAATTCTAAATTGTATATAAAATGTACAAATGTATTTTTAGTGTTTACACCATGTAAATAAAGTTTTGTATCAAGTTATAATTAACGAGCATTCATTCACTTAAATACTTATTATAAAACCAAATTAGGTTTTGCTTTATCTTTTCCCAGTAATCATTATTGAACTTGATTAGCTCCAGATGATAACCCTTTTGGGTGTAGACCAGGAAGTGACACCATGTTCTCTTTGTCACAGCCATTTGTCCCTGTATCTGTGCAAAATATGCATGCTTCTCTTTCAAGACAATTTTGCCATTAATCTTTACCAGGTAGGAAAGATTGTCTTCTGATGGTAAATCATTAACAATAGAATAAGGGCACTTCACTTCTAGCACCCCTAATCCACAACAGGAACATTCAACAAGCAGATCAGGGGATGCTCCAATGAATTGGTCAGATTCATCAATAAATAGTCCACACTCTCTGAATTTTGCATCTTTGTGCTCCCTCTGAAACAGTTTCACATACTTATCCTTAGCAACTTTCTCCATGTTTCTTCCATATTTTAGAGCAGGTAAATGTTCCGACGGTCCATTACTTTTACCCTGGATTGTGTCCACTAGTTCCTGTGCATCACCCCCCTTAGTTTTAAGGGTTTCAACTTTTGTGTACACTCTATAGAAATTAGAGGCAGTTAATTGGCCTTTTCTGTAATCGTGCCATGCCTCATTCTCAGACTGACCAATGGTGCCTTGTTCAATCAGATGTATATCATCAGCACTTAAGTCTTTCTTTGATGACTTAGGCATTACACATTCAGGTACTTCAGTATTAATTTCTATTGTAACGGAAGTGGAACACGGTTCCTCAAACTCAAATTTGATGAATGCCGATTCTGGCAACAAGTCCTTCAAATTATTATAAAACGACTTCCTCTTTCCTTTTGGAGTCAGGGGCTTCAACTCTTCATGTGAATTGAATAACTTTCGGCGACTATCGATGGCAGGTCGTCGTCTCTAGAAAAACACAAAATAAAAGTAAATTAATTGCTAGGTTACAAGCTAATAAGAACTTTCTTATTTATGTCCCCAGATAACACTTATGTCTATCCAGTATACATACTGTAAATACTTTGTTTAGAATTTTAAACATAATAACATACCTTTATTTAGCTTTGAAGCCTTCCACTCCATATCACAAATTCTAGAGGGCTTGATTACAGTCTTGTTTCCTATTGGAACATTCCACACACACTCTTTGGACGTACATGCAGGATTTGTCATACCAAACGGTTTGCTGCTTCAATTCTGAACAGCAGTGCCATCACATGAATACAAGAACCACTCATACTGAAACAAGAAATAACAAATAGTTAGGGTATATGATAGACATAATATTTTAAACATTCTAAAGTATAATATATATTGAGCTTAGACCAACAACATTAGTCATAAAATCGAGGTATATGATAAACATGATATTTAAGGCTTATATTTTGCATCAGTTACAAGTTAAAGTCTTATAAAACAGAAAGTCTAACATACCCAGCAGTACAGGTACAGTAGGCACTGATAATCTCTCCATTTTTTCTTGAACAAATCCATGATGTATGTGGTGTATCACCAACCTTCATCGAATGCGTACATTTTGCTTTCAAGAAGCAAAAATCCATATTTTCTAGTTCATGGTAGAAAACTTCTTTCAGAAAGCCCGAGTCAAATAAGCGGTATGCTTTCCCCTCTTTGTACTCATTCATGACCCGTTCGTGCAGTTTAATATCCTTTCCAGGATGATCAGCCATCAGATATTTCGTAATGTCACTTAGAAATATAGGAGGCCATGATGTTAGCCCATCTTTTTCATCAATCCATCCGTCCTTTAGCCCAAGAGGATCGGGAAGCTTGCTGCCCTCAGGAGTAAACAATAGCTTCGCTCTCTCAGACTCCGTGATGCACATTAGTTCTTTAGCCGATGCTTGTACTTGGATTCCCATCTCTGATGCTGCAAACACACGGGCTACAAGTTCAGCTTTAGCTCCAGAAGTTTTAAGATTTCGTTTACGGCAAAATAACTTGAGAGCGTCCACCTTCCATGTGTTGACTTCCTCGAGGGAAAGCTCACTTGTCTCGCTCATTTCCACGCCAAAAACGACGAGAAAACTATATGAAAACTATATACAAACTAGTGAAAACTATATACAAACTATTATTAAAACTATATACAAACTATGATCTAATTTAAACTGGAAAAAATTGTAAAATCGCGAGGTAAAAGTGTATAAATGTTGACGATGCTTTAGTTATCAAGATGGCCGCTGTCACGCTTGGTGCCCACTTTTTATATGAGACGATCCCAGAATGCATTGCGCGCGTTTCGATATCGGAGACTCTTGATGCAGGTATCTGAGACCAAAGAGCCCCATAATTTACGCCAATGGATGTGATTCAACTATGCGATTCAAACCATGTGACGCGTAATACGATTGGTTGTTTTGTTGCCATAGAGAAATGCATATTTTGATTGTAAGCGATTACTAGTTAGTTTGTACGTGTGTTTTGTTTTAGTCAACTTCAATTTAGGAGCGGAACAAACCATTGTCACATTGGTATTCTTAGCGAAGGAGAAGATGCTATAATTGAGGAGGTGAGTGAAACGTTTTCATCGGGTATAAATTCAGAATAACAAGTACAATCTTTTAATGCTTATCCTCAAAAATAACTCAGAATTTTTAAGCCCTGTTCAAACGGTCACGATAGTTGATGATAGTTGAAATAATCATTTGCCGTCATGTTTGCGTTCAAACATCTCATGATAGTTAACAATTGTTCACCGAAGTGGAGGTAAATATCAGGTAATTTAGTGTCAACAACTGAGTTGAAAACGTAAATTGGCCACCGTAAAGAGTTAAAAAGCTGACGTTTCGAGCGTTATCCCATCGTCAGAGCGATTGACGAAGGACTAACGCTCGAAACGTCAGCTTTTTTTACTCTTTACGGTCGCCAATTACGTTTTCAACTCAGTTGTTATCTCTAAATTACCTGCTATACTCTCCCACCGACGCAGCACCACAGTATCTTTAGAAACTTACCCTCTGTATTCATGGGGGTAAATATCCATCATTTTCATCGACACTGAGGTGATTAATTTGTTTCAGTATATATAGTATATCACACAAGTACCATAAACTTAGTTTATTTCTTTCAATATACCGAAAAATGGTGGGAATTCAATTCTTGTTGTTCAATTTTTCTCATCATCTGTTCGGAGGTGAATGGTACTTGCCATTCAATTCTGAACTAGCCAATCAGCACATGAAAAAAAAAACCATTCACTGAATGTGTGTTATATACTAATTGATTATAGCTGTTGAAATCATACAATGGGATTTTACTGCCGGCTGATACCTAGTATCTTAGTGTGTGAAATTGTAAGCAAAATATCAGCCAAGAAGAGTGCTTATCGCCACAGTTTTAGAGAACATTAATGTAGAACGACTCTTCTAAAGAGTTGCTTGATCACCACAAATGAAGCAGGAAGGAGTGGATATGAAGTCAAGAAGTTGCAAGCAGAAGACAGAAGCCTTTAACCCTTTAACTCCCAGATCAAATTTGTCATTCTCCTCACTGTCAACCATACAATTCTTATAATGTTAGTTCAGATAATTTAGTATTGGATCAACAAATTATTCCCTAATTTATATTTTTCGCTATTCTCATCACTTATCTGGTTGATATTGCATTGATATTGTAAGGAGAAATTCTCTCTTGGTCACTCATGGGAGTTAAAGGGTTAAGGAGATGTTGAAAATGAACTTTGAGACAACCTATAAAATTTTGACAACTATTTTACCCCTCTTATGATTTTCCATTTCAGTTTGAGCCTATTTTTGGCAAGACCACAGACTGAAAAACTAGTTAATTATAGTTTGAGTTCAAATGTGCACCATAGTTAGTTACTATCATTGTCTATCTGTACCATTTCTATAGGGCTTTACAGTAAATCAGTGTATATGTGTTGAACTTGATATATTGACTTCATTTGAAATACATTTTTGTTTCAATGTGTTGGTGTTGACCCCCAAATTTCTTCTGCTTCTGCTGCCCCCAGTTCTGTTTTGCCAGCAGTTAGTAGTCTCATATTTTCAAAGAGCATCAGGTTTATTTTTCTGATGAGAGTGCTATATTCAGGCCTGAAATTATACTTCGGTTCATTTCCCCAGGGACATTGTGAGACAGTTTTGTGAATTCCCTGAGAATGATTTATCATCTGTGAATACTAAGCCCACTGCTCCTCATATTTCCTAACCAAACCCAAAGTGAGTTTAGGAGTATTTCAGCTTTCTCTGGGAACAACATATGCTTTGTGGTGTATCATAAAATGAAAAGGGGATATTTAAAAGTTTGGTTTTGCCATAGTGTCTGGAAGTGCATGCTAGAAATGATTGAAATTGCTTTGCATTGTGTCATACCGAAGAGTGTCATAGCTTATTGTTTTGCAAACCATATTTCCCATTGCTTGATTTTAATCACTGTCAATGGTTTTAGATGTTTTGTTACTCAAAGGAAATACCAAAGAAGAGACAAAAAAACAAAATAATAGAAGATGCAAAAAAAGAAAAAAAAAAAAAGAAGTGAAGAATGTCATAAAAGCCACTTTGCAGCATTCATTTTAACTTTGTCAGTCATGAGTTATGATAGTTGTGTTTTGATGCTAGTTTTGCCAAAGAGACCTCCTATTGATTAGCAAGGATAGTGGAGGGCATATTTATTTACTTAGTAACACTTCAAACCTGCCCCCATGCTGACACACCCCCATTTTTTCCAAAAATATTTCTTCCCAGTAAGGGTTTGACTGACATTGGAAAACATGAAAATTTTGTGAAAAGATTTAGAATTTACTTTTCTCCTTTCAAATTTTCAGGAATGTGGCTGACATCTGGAGGATCAATTTTGTATTACTTCATAATAATTATTCATAATAATTACTGACATTTTGATGAAAAATCTTTTTTTCCTCAAATATGATAACAAATTTATGCTAATTTTTCTGAAATTCTTATTTTAATACACTTTAATGTAAGATAATGTAGGGCCTTATTGCTATAAATACATGTTGAGGTAAAAAAATGAAAACACAGTGTGGTCAATTTCATGCATTTTTGGGGGCCATAGATGAGTTAAAGTTTGCAAGATCAGTACTAATATATATGACCTAAATGTAAATGAGTGAGCCATTGTTTTATATATGTTAGTGCATCTAGTTCAATCTGTTTCCTAAGGACTGTGAAAGGTGTTCACTGTAGTTTAGGGTAAAACTTTGGAGTCAAGGGAAAGATCATTTTCCTTGATGAAAATTGAATTAGTTGGTAGTGACAAAACTAATCAGTGATCGGTACAGCATTCTGTGCCACACAGCTTTGGTCCCATAACATCTACTTTGTCAGTTTTTCTAAGTTATTGCATAATCTGGTGACTGACATAATATGATATGTCTCTGTGTAGAACAGCCCACACATTACTCAAAGTTCTGTTAATAGACAGACATCTTCTGATTGGACACGGCACTACTGGATGTACTGAAAGAATGATACATAAGGGAACTTATAAGAAACAATAAGCACATTTAGAGGTGCTCAAAAAAGCCATAAAGTTACATATATTGTTAAGTTCTATCAAAAAGGCACTAGATAGAGCTGTTTAGAGGATTCCATGCACAATCAAAATCCCTTGGGAAGATAACTCTTCTACCAAAAGGGAACTAGTAGTAATAATAATGATAATAATAATGAGACTTTGATGATGTTCTTTTTGGGTCTGAGAGTCTGTGTCACCTCAATATAAAAACCTGATCAAAGAAAATGGGTGGTGCTTGTGTTCTTTAGAGGGTAATTCTTTGAAATAAGACCTTCATAATGAGGACTCCCGAAGAGTCCCTTTACTTTGGTTCGGAGAACACACACCTTAATTCCTCTCAAAAAGGGAGAAAACAAAAGACTGGAAAAATTTTTTTAGCCATAAAGCACCTTAGGAGGTGCTCTAAAAAAGTCATAAAGATACTTACATTAAGAAATAATGTAAAGAATACAGTTTTTTAACAAAGTACACTCTGCAATTCTTAGTATCACTCAGGCACTGTGTGTATCTGAATACACACAGTGTGTGTACTTTATGAAGAATTTGAGTGTGTAAACCATTAAAAGATTATTTTTTCGTTAATCTAAGTATCTTAATGGTTTTCTTGGGCACTTCTTCATGTGCCTCAGGACACAAAAAAACTTTTTTCCAGGTTCTGTGTTTTTACCTTCTTGTGAGGACTCAAGATGTGTGTTATACAAACCGACTTATGAGGACCATTCAAAAGTCCTCACTATGATGGTCTTTTCTCTTATTACAACGTATTTATGAGGACTTTTTTGTGGGGACTTGAAAATGTCCCCACAATTTGAACAGACCCCACTTTGCTGGTGTGTATACATATGAATGTCCCCATAGGTGTGCAAAGGTGCACGCACACACACGTTGGTTTCCGTGCCGTCTTTGTTGTCTTTCGTGTAAGGTGAGTGGGACGAGATGCGCTTGTTGTGGTTGTCGATGACCTGTTTGGTGTTGTTCATACAGCTGTAACTGATTTTGATGGTGTTGCGGTTAAATATTTTGCGGAGGCTGTGATCCTTAGGGAAATGTTTGTCGATTAGGCTGAGGAATTTGTGTCCGATATTGGTGCTGACGTTCTTGCTGAATGGAGGGTTGTACCAGAGGATGTTGCTTCGCTGCCTGTTTTTGCGTTTTGCAGTCGTGGTGGGTTCATAGTGGAGGGTGTATTGGTATCCGCCTTTGTCAAGTGCTTTTTGGTACGGGGGGGCGACTTTGTCGAATGAAGCTTTGTCTGATGAAAGGGATGAAAGTCGTTTGTTGATGCCGGCAGGTATGTTCTTTGTGGTGATCGGTGGATGATTGCTCTCGCGGTGTACGTACTGTAGTGTGGTGTTAGGCTTTGTGTAGGGCTGGTAGGGGAAATGGTGGGGAAATGGTAGGGAAATGGTGCAGGCTTGTCGGGAAATGTAGTTACGTCCCTTTTTTCCTCTCATAATATTTATTCTGCTCTGCTTCAACGTATTGAGCACTGTTCCACGCGAAAATCGACTTGCAGACTTCCTATATATATACATATATATATATATAAGCCAATTTAAATTTTACCTGTGCAATTTTGTATGTATAATTATACATACACTACACCCACAACAACGTAAGCAAAAGATGCAACCTCTGCCTCAAAGAAAAATTACCTGTCGTCTTCCCACTTGAATTATCATCACTCAATAAACGTAAAGAACTCGTGCCCCCCCCCCCCTACAGAAAAAAAGTGTTACTGCGTAGCAACTGAACAAAGCAATTAAATTTACCGCCACGCTCATTATGCACATTTGTAAAGTATATAAAGATAGTTACGAATATTCTTGTCAATAAAATCCCTTGATGAGTGAGTAATCACGAAACAGGAGAGATAAAGTAGATAGAAAAGGATAGTGTCCTTTTTCTCTCTATTTCAATATATATGTGTATATATATATATTCAACTTGACGAACGGACTCTTCCAACCATACAGAAAACCGAATGACGAGCCGTTCTGCATCAATACAAAATCTGACCGCCCACCCACTGTCAGCAAGCAAATATCCGCAGCCATCAATTGCAGATTATCAGTCTTATCCTCCAACAAGGAATCTTTCGACAAAGCTAAGCCCCTCTACGACAAAGCCTTCAGATCAAGTGGAGTCTACGAAATACTTGACTACCGCAAGAGAAACACTACCGCACCTACAAAAAGAAACATCATCTGGTTTAACCCCCATACAGCAAAAATGACCGAGCCAAAGTCGCTACAACCTTCCACACACACTTTACACACTTTATTTTTCTTTTTCTTACAAAATAATTTAGATTATATTGACCCGCAGATAGCAAATTTGCTATTCGAGGCGGGTCAATCATCAACAAACATTATTTACAATATATAAAGAAAATTAAAAACTAAATAGTTAGATATTGTTAAATTATAAAGAGAAGCATAACTGGTAAATACATCAATATAGTTGTTCAATAAAGTATAGAAGCAAATAAATTAGTACTGAAAGCAATCGGATCAATTTGTTTTAATTATGCAGTCCTTAAGTTTAGAGGAGATCTTTTCAACATCAAGATAAGAATCTTCATTATCTAGTATCTGAAATAAAGACGTTTTAATTTGTTTATTAAAGGAATGTTTTGATAACGTTTTGAATTCTTTCGGTATCTTATTCCAAATTTTGACACCAACACGCGAGAAAGCCTTTTTTTGTAGGTTAAGTCTAGAGTACTTTGTACTAAAGAGCTGCGATTTGGATGATCGAGTATTGTAGGTATGAATATGAGATGTTTTAGTAAATAGTTTCAAAATATTAATGGGAGCCCTCTGGTCGTGCACGTCAAACATAAGTTTACTTACGGCTTCATAATATAGGAACGTAACAGGCAGAATTTTTGCTTTGGCAAATAAAGGGATGGCATGCTCTCTTCGATCGGTGAAATAGATTAAGCGCAAAACTCGCTTTTGAAGAACTAAAATCTTGTTTAAATAAGCATTTGACGCATTGCCCCAGGCAAGGAGTCCATAAGTTATATAAGGTAGAATTAATGAATTGTAAATATTTACAAGGATAGTAGAGGGAACGAAGTACCTCAGCTTTGCAATCATCCCTATTGTTTTACTTATTTTTACGATAACAGAGACAACATGGTTTTTCCATGACAAATTTTGATCAATTAAAACGCCTAGATATTTGATATAACTTTTTTGCTCTAAACTAACTCTTCGGTTTGTCTCACAATCTAAAATACCTATTTGTGGAGAAAAATGCATTTTTTTCTGACGAGGACGAAAAATTAAGAAATTTGATTTTTTTGTATTCAACGTCAACCTATTTGTAGTTAACCAGTCATGTACGTTATTCAACGCTACATTAACCGTTTGCTCGATCGCCTTAAGATTCTTATCAGCATAAAGTATATTAGTATCATCCGCAAAGAGATAAAATTTTAGTTTATCAGAACAAAGGTGAATGTCATTTATGTAAAGTAAAAATAGAAGAGGTCCAAGGACTGATCCCTGGGGGACACCACAGGGGGAGATAAGTTTTGTTGATAAGTGCTCTCCAATCTGAATTGTTTGTGTTCTATTTTTTAAATATGATTGAAACCAGTCATTTATCAATCCACGGAAACCGTAAAAGTTCAATTTATCGAGTAATATTTCATGATTGACCGTATCAAATGTCTTTTTCAGGTCAATGAAGACACCGCATGAGAAGTACCGTTTATCCATATTACGTAGTATATCTTCGACAATATCAAGTACTGCATGCTCTGTGGAATGTGACTTGCGAAAGCCATACTGTGAGGAGTACAATAGGTTGTTTTTGTCAATAAATTCCTTCATCCGGTAGTACAAAAGTTTTTCAAAAATCCTATTAAAATTAGACAAAAGAGATATTGGTCGATAGTTTGAAGGGTCGGTCTCGTCGTCAATAATAATAATTCAATAATTACAATAGACTCACCAATTGACCAGCCACTGTATATATTTAAGTGAGGTATATGTGAGGTACACTCCTCTATAAAATCTGTCCGATGATCGCGTAAGCGTGAAACTCAGTCAAAAAATAAGTTAAGCCCTACTGATTAGTTCAACCCTCAGATATACCACGCTCTGCGAACGCATAGCGCACTATACCGCATGGATAGACGATAGCCAAGATTTATAAATATATCATATATACCAAAAAACAACCTTATCTTGACAGTAATGAATTGGTCCATGCTTAACATACGTACACAGCTGTTTGCAGATAGGTTGTTCGAAAAAACTCAAGTATAGGCGAAAAACCCTGCAAGACTCTATGGGTAGTTTTCAGGTCACGGCTCCTTGGCCTCAGGGTTTTAAGGAAATCCGAGAAAATAACTCTGTAAAGCGGAGGCGTAGTGCATTTAGTTATTGTTGTTGTAAATATAAGCTTCTAGAAATCTTCAGACTGCTGAGGCAATGCTGACATGCGCACCAGAGAACTTTCTGGAACATTTCATCAGGAACCCAGTTATTACGGAATACTACTAAAATAGTTCTTTTTTAAACTTCTGGAATGCTCTAGAACACTTTGTGAATGCTTTTAACGGCTCGGTTATGTAAAAGTAGTAGTTATTGTTGTTGTTGGGAGTGATCGACTGTTTAGAAAGTTTTACCGTGAGAGAGAGCTACAGTGGAAGATTGCTTATATCAAAAAACGTTGTAAGAAACTGCGAGTTTTACTCAGTGGTAAGCTAAGATATATACTGTCATGGGCTTAAGTAAGTTTATCGATTATAAATACTGTCTAGCCTTTATGAGTCGCTCCATATTAAGAATATTACTCGTTGTTTAATATAGTGGTTGAGTTTTTAGGATTGTTATAATTTTTCTGTCAGTGAGATTAAACCGTAATACTAGATATCTTGGGTTTGATGATTTTATTTTCTTCACAAGCCTGCCTTTTCATTTTAAAATTGATAAAAGAACGAAAAACGAAAAGAAAAACGAACTGACCCATAAAAGACGAAGACGATGTTAATTCAAGGAAAGCGAATTCGAAGTTACCTAAAAAAATTCAGTATTGTCAACTGAGGTGAGAACGTAAATTGAACCCCCGTGAAGAATTTCAAAGCTGACATTTCTAGCGTTAACCCTTTGTCCGAACGCAGGACTAACGAAGGTTAACACTCGAAACGTCAGCTCTAAAACCTTTTTCAGTGGCCAATGTACGTTATCCACCCAGTTGATAGTGCTAAATTACACTGTTACACTCTCCCACGCAGTTCTATAGTGTCTTAAGAAATTCACCCCCTTTTTTACAAAAAAAAGAGTTTGCAACGTAATATTCTATGGTTTTGTTCTCTCGTATTCAAGTGCATGTCGGCATTTATCCTCTTTTCATTAATCCTTTTGTGCTTCTTTATTTGTTTCAGTTATTAAGA